AGCTACAGTCTTCACAAGTTCTGGGGAAAATTCAGAACTGCAGTCCACACAAAGGTTCACTACTCATAAAAAGTCTCTAGCACAGCGTTCTGCTCAGAGTATACACTCAGTTATTATGACCCATAAAAACGTAACATCATGAAGCTAACGGGGGCCTTGGAGAACATTAACACAGTAAGAAACTGTGTCTCTCTGAGCCCTATGGTTGGTTCCAAAGGGGTTCCTCAAGGAGAAGGGGGAATGGTGGTAGAGGGGCAGGCTGGCTAATGAGCCTCTCTCTTCCCAGCCCCTGAATCCCAGCCTCAGCCAAAGCTGCTCTTTATTTCATTTGCATTAATTTTTTAAAAATCTATACGATTCAACTCGTATTCTGTTTAAAGCCTGCATCCTAAACCTACATTGTTTCCTGGTCTATTCCTGTCTTACATGGCCCCATCTGCAGCTTCTCACTGACCAGTGGCACCTTTTGCCCGAATACTGCTTTTTGGAACCATGTTCCCTCAACTGAAACCCAGTTTAAGTAGGATTATACTCAATCCTTGGATGAAGTCTATTTCCAGCTACTCTGGATAATAATTCAGGTGGTCCCAGCTTAACCTTTGGGTCCAAACAAAGGGACACAAAGTCAACACTACGTCTCAGAAGAAAACCAAGGAGGACCTGAGGAATGAATGCCGAGTGTCATGGCTGTCACTTAGCCCTGAGTTGTTATACTACTTATGTGTCTGCTTCTCCACTTGACTGTACACTCCCTGAGGTAAGAACTGAATCTTAATAACAAAATAAAAACTACTACTTATTCAATGTTTACTCCAGATACTGGATTAAGGGTACATATATGCTGTATAATATTAAGGAATCATGTTAGGACCACATAGAAGAATTGGAAGGAGTCCTAGACAGAGATCAACCAGTTCCAGAACGAAAAGCAAAGGGACACAGTGCCTCCATTAAAAAAAAAATTTAAGTGACACAGTAGATTAACACTTATTCATTAACTCTAGAAACATTTATTGAGAACCTATGTCCCTACACTGTTCTAGAACCTAAGGAGTCAGTGGTAGACCACACAGAGTCTTTGTTTTCATGAAGTACACATTCTAGTGGATAAACAGCAAATATATGCTAGATAATGACCACAATAAAACAAAGCAAAGAACAGAAGAAGGATGCTACTTTATACAGGGCAGTGGAGGAAGGGCTCACTGAAGAGACTTAAAGACCACATGGAATCTGGGGAACAACGAATGGAAAGGTCCTGAGGCAGGAATGTGCCTGGAGCAGGTGAGGAAAGCAAGGAGGCTAGGGCGTCTGGAGGAGAGTAAGAGTGAGAGGATGTGAGGTCTGAGAAGTGGCAGGGACCAGATCCTCTGGCTTTGAGCTGCTGTTAGAAGTCTGAACTTAAACCAGGAACTCAAGATAATCAACTCCTAAAAAAATATAAATAAATGACATTTAGCTTCCACAAAAGCATGTATAATACACAGAGAAAAACTCAGCTGCACGCCTAATCTGAAAATAGAATTCCCAACAACTCAGAGCTGCTGTTTACCTTACATGTAATCAAAACATCTTTGTTTTACAAGACATCACTGCAGTTACTGTCTAAGCGCTCAGCTTTACCAGTGTGGACACTGAGGTGCAGAAAGACCATGTGGTCTGCCCAGTTAATGCAGAACTGGGATAGAAGACAGGTTCCCTCAGGTCCCGTTCGGTGATTCTCATTGGCTCCTGCTGCCCCTGCAGACTCAGTCTGGCTGCTTCCAGGGGTCTTGGTTTACTGTGTGGTGCCTCTGTAACCTTTATAAACTAGTAAGAAAATGGAAGAGTTACCCCTATGATGCACCTCCAGACACATTCCCACACCAAAGCCTGTTGTTACAAACTCCCACAATTCTAGTTTTTTATTCCCAACAGAGTTGAAGACAAGCAGGTAAGTAAGGTGAAGGCGGGTCAGGCATTGTGCTAGTTACTAGAAGGAACACTCATTTTGGTTTTGCCTGTCCAGCATCTCTTGCTCCCTAGTCTTAGCGATCACAGACTCCAATCCACCTTCTGGAGCGAACATATGACCTGGCCATTTGAGGAACCTTATCCTTTTGATGCCATAAGGAGAGCTCAGGACCCAAGCAGAACCAATGAGAGTCCTTTCTTGGGATTTCATGGATAAGAGTTGGAGAAAGAAGCTTCATCCTGTTTCCCAGTTAGACTAGCCAAAACATCCCTATTTTGCTCAGGTTGTTTTATCAAGGTTACTGTTACTTGAAACCAAAAGAATTCACACTCAGGCATGCACTTGCACAACTTTTCTCCTTTCTGCCTAACAACCTTATAAGGTTGCTATTACTCACTCTATTTTATAAGTGAGGAAACTGAGGTTAAGTAACTCGCCCAAGTTCATACAGTAAGTTCATACAGTAAGTAAGAGTCATTCAAATTCAGGTCTTTCTGTTCTAAATCTTATTCACTATCCAGTTATGAATTCAGTATTAACTCAGGAATAAGAAACTCAGCTAAAGAATTTTTGGTTTGAAATTACAGTAGAAACATAAGGTAGGAGAATGTATAAGGGCAGGGTGGGAAATATTAAACTGGGGTCAAAGGACCTGGCTTCTACCTCTGGCTCTGTCCTTTGACTTTATCTGTTATGACTCTGGGCAAGACACTTCCCTTATCTGGGTGTTAGTTTTCCCACCTATAAAACCAGAAGCCTGAACAACATGAATGTAAGATCTCTCTAAGTACTAAAAGAGAAGTCTGTGGTTCTGCTTCAGACATACAGATTCTATTTTCACTATATTTCAGGTAGGAGGTCAAGTAAATTTCAACTTCAATGTCAGGTCCAACAATTGGTAATGGCTGCCTGGGCACAATGTTGCAAAGGATTCTGGGAAATGATCACTGGCTCCTTGGTCATAGGGAGGAAGAGAGGAACAGCTGCCTGCTTGCCACACATTTGCCATCACTCACAGTTTCACCTCGACAGAGGAATGTTGCTTCCTCCTCTATCGATGCTATTAGTACCTGCACCGGATTTTCAGACTCCTTCATGAACTTACTTGGTTTTCCTTTGCAAGCAACGAATGAAAGTACAAGAAAGCTAAGTGGTTTAGGGAATATAGCTTTGTCCCACTGATGAAAATACATCTAAATGGCCTACATGGGGTTAGGGTAGTGGGTGAATGGGAACAATAATAATCACTATAGTTCTTTATGATACATACATAGATACATACATACGTATTAGCATCAAAAGATGCTAATAATCAGCTTGCCAGTTAAATGGGGTATTATCACAGCCGTCTTTATAGAAAGGGGGAATGAGACTCAGGTAACAGGACTTGCCCAAGTCTCCCACTTCCGAGTAACAGAACCCACATTCAAATCCAAGCCTTCTAAAATCTAAGTCTCAGTTCTCTTTCCACTCCAAGGTCCCCATGAGTCCCACGATTCAAATAAGTTAACCAATCAAGCTCCCAATGCAAACTGGCATAGTTATTACTGTTTGGAGTTGTCCAGCTATGATAAGTTCTTTCCCTCAAAATCTGAAATGCCGTTACTAATTTGCTGGTAATTTAATGGGTAGACATGCATTGAGTACATACAAATTGAGCAAAGAGTTACCTATCTCCACACCTTTGTGCATACGCTTAGTCAAGATGCTCCTCTCCACCCTGTCTGCACTGGAACCAACTACTTCTCTATAAAGATTTGTTTCAGCTATCATTGCCTCTGTAAAGCCTTTCTTGGCCCTGAGGTAGAACAGAACACAACCTCCTCTGTGCTCTACACAACGTCTACAAGGCTTTAAGTCACTTCTTTGTTACTATGTCTCCACTATTCTGTTTAAATCCTATTATTCTAACACAATGCTGGTCAGAAAGCAGGTGCTTAATTGATGCTTATTGACACACTGAATTTATTCATCTGGACCAATTTCCCTTCCAATGCATGAATATCCTCTGTAACTGCCACTCATGAATTCATGCATGCATACATTCATGAAAAAATATCTGAGTGTCTACAAAGTACAAGGCATTGCACTGTGTACCAAACGGAGGTGAATTTACCATGAAATCAATGAAGTTTAAGCTTCAGGGCCCCTCACTTGCACCTCTCAAAGCTCCGAACCATTTTTTTTCTGATTTTGTATTTCATTTATTAAAGAGGACAGATATAACTATATAAACTCCAAGCGCCACAAAACTATATCCACCCTTGGTGCCAAGGATATGAAAGTGAACAAGGCAAACGTTCTCTTCCCTTACAGTGTTTCCTGTTTAGTGGGTAAGACAGACAACCATTTGTTCATTCATTCATTCAACAAACATTTACGAAGCAATGCTATGAGTCAGGCTTTGAGGATTCTGGGGCAAAGCCAACACTGTTCCTGCCCTTAAGAAGTAGGTCCTTGCTCTCCTGAACGAAAGCCTGCAGTGTTCAGGGAACAGAAAGTAGTTTAGATGACTGTAATACAGAGTGTTTGTGAAAGATTATCTTAAACCAGTCTCAAGATCTAGCGATCCCTAGCATGAGCCCTAACCTATTGCAGGAGGCAAGGGGAAGGGAGTGGTCAGCTGAACAGGATCTTTGATCTCAATGAGGAAGCGGGGAGGGGAGGGGGATAAGACAAGTAAACAGAAGAGACGAAAACACTGTTGTCAGTGCTGCGACAGGAAAGCAGAGAACTGTGTGGGAAGCTTCGCCGGCGTTCAAGTCTACAGTTTCGGCAAACTCATGACCTCATAAAGGTAATGAACTCTGAACTTGCAAACAGAAGAGTTCCTAGTTCCCCAAATACGAGTCCCCATTCCTCGACCTAAGACTGTTCCTTTCCAAGACAGCCCTTGGGGACCAACTCTCCGGCCCCCCTGCAGACCACTTTCTCAGGCGCCTCCTTTGCACAACGCTTACGGGACAGAGTCCAGTTTGGGCTCTGGGGTCCCTGTCGCGGGTTCGCCCCCCACTCCAGCCCGCCGTTTCCATAGCAACCAGCTCACCACTTCGCGCGCCCGGCTGGAGAAGTCCCCCTTGGGCCGGGGGCTCCGGCGGAACAGCTCGTCGCGGCTGCCCTCAGCCCCGCCGCCCACCGCCAC